AAGAAAAGATTTTAGAGCATAATGTTGCAAGGTGAGGGCACAAGACCCATTAGAATATTCACCCTCCCAGCTAACAGGCAAAGTTGTGTACATGTAGATGGTTGCCTATTTTGTTGTCATTGGTTAGATGAGGTATGGGACTTTGTTGAAAGTTGCTGTATTTATAGAAGGGTGGAAAAGTGGCTTTTCTTCATCATGTTCAGTGGAGAGGGAGGGGTCTGGATCTTTTATCCTTATAATGACCCTCTGGGACAAGAACATTCTGCAGCTTCTGTGGTTCAGAGATCACCTAAGGTCAAAGGTTCCTTGATACTCATTACAATGATGTCAATGAAAGATTGATTTTTGTCTCCTTGAGAGTGGGACATGCCTCCTGGTTTGAGATTAGTGCCCTTGCAAGCTCAGTGTCCCAGTGAATATAATTATTGAATCATATCTTCCTGAGAAGGAAGTATGGTGATTTCATTCTAATAAATCTGATTCGGGCTTGTCCATGAGAGCTTTGTTACTGGTCTAGTCTTTTTATGGTGACCAGTCTCTGGTCATCCATCAGTCACTAGGCTTTGAAAACAAGTCATGGTCAGTGGGGTTCAATTATTATTGGTCAAGGTCAAGGATCCAGTCAATTATCAACCACCAACTCTACCTGTTTCTTTGCTACTGATTAATCATGATGGCAGCAGGTTGTCATCTTGTACTCACTCAGCTGAGGAAGAGAATTGTATTGGCATCTCCAATTTTCTCCATTCCCTTTTAATTTCCAGGAACCTTTCTAACACTCAAGTTCTCAAGGGATTCTGCCATTGGATCAGATTCCATCTTTCTGACCTCATCAATTATTATTATCTTCAGAGACCAGTATCTTGCTCACAAATGCCTTGATAAATATTTCATGCATTCATTGGTCATTGCCAAAACCCCTATATGAATCTTTCATTGAAACTTAGTTTCAGTGAGGAGAAGGATTGAGCTTCAGATTGTTTATGGTTTGTGATTCAGTTTCTCTTTTTTGCCTTAAAAGTTTCAGCAGCTCAGTTCCATTTTGAGATCTCCAGACTCAGTTGTACTTGTGCTGGAGATGATCAAGATGTTCATCATAAAAATTTTATTTAATAATTTTATTTTAATAGGTGGAAGATGTGACAGATGAAGTAAGTAAGAAGGAGTTTGAAAAATTTGAAAAGAATCTTCAAGACCATCAGAACAAGTCATCAACATAACTTTTGCATGTAATTTATCCATTATATTCTTTTCAGACTTAACAGAATTGAACTTTGCCAATTTATGAAGCTACAGTATAGTTCTGAGCAGATTTGTTAGATATTTAAGGAAAATTATTTGTTTGTGACAGAGTAAAATGTTGAGAAAATTGTTTTTTTTTACCAAATTTCTGGTTTGTGTACTTTTGTGAGGGATAATTTGTCACTTGTTTTCTGCATATGATAAGTTCCTTAAGCATAGAATCCCTCCGTATTTGTAAGCGTTTTATCCATGAAAGCAGCAAAAGTGATGTTGTTTATTAAGTCACACATTGTCGGACAATAGAAAGTAACTTAAAGTTTTCATAAATGTAAATAAGTTTCTAGATAATTGGATACAAGTTGATCTTGTATAATAAACAGTAAACATCTTAGTGCAGTCTTGTACTATCTTGATAAAATGTTTTAGTCAATGAATCAATAGTAAATTACCTTGTTACAGTGAAAAGCAGTCAGTCTGTTGTGAAAGTAGTTTGCACTCTCTCAATTGACAGTCTTACAGATTTGGTCTTTGTGTATCTCTGCTATCTTTATTCATTTTATTATTTACTGTGAAGTTTAACCATTTTTCATGTAATTTTTTTTATTCTCTGGTGTCATAAAACACTTGAAACAGAATCAGTATCTGTATATGTGATAGACAGCAATAGACTTAATGATACCACTAATATAACTATCATAGCAATGCCATTAGCCCAAACTATTGACAAAAAATGCATGAAATTAATTAACCATTTCCTTAAATCTGTGTTCAAATAAAATTTTCATATATATATTCACATTCACATAGTATATTCTTTCAAGGCACATATAAAAGTAACTCCTTGAGTTAATTAAGTATGGTCAGTATATAGTTGGATGTGCAATGTTGATGTTTTTGCCATTTTGTTTACATTGTGTTATTCTTGCATGACAGATAATATACTGGATATTGCCCTGGCTTTCATCTGCCTGAAAGTATATGGCACCAGTCAGATTACCCTTTTTTCTTAATTTTGGGATACAATGTTACAAAAATTGTCATTTTTCTTCGTTGGGAGAGCTATATAATCATCATAATATTTTGCCAGGGAATGCATGTTTATAGTACTCTCGATGGCCCACATGGTGGTATGAGGTTGTCATTGACAGGAAGGGAGCTGGAGAATCAAAAGGGAATCGGTGACCATGGATGAGTGCCTACTTATCTGTGCTGGCTACAGGATTAAACTATGGATGCAGTGATGCAAAGCAGGACAGTTGCCATTGTTCAATCATGGAATCCTATTACTCTTTGGTCATTTTGGCTAGCAGAGTGCTATTAGAAATAGAGTTCTATTTCTAACATTAATGCAAATTAATGAAACATAGGTACTGATAAGCAATGTTCACCTAATAAATCCAGATACAGTACTATAATTAGGTATCAATTATAATTTGAAATAATTGTAATGAGAATACACACACACACACACAGGTAGCAACATGTATACCATATGCCTTCTTTCTTTTCACCCACACATTTCTAGTTAAGGCTTTCTGAGCCAGAGTGACTTATAATCATTAGTGTGAAATTGCATTCAGGGTAACAAATTGTTTTTCTTTCTGCTTCATGGAGTTCCTCTGTTTCTTTTTCTTGGAAATAAGTTATTCAAGTTTTGTTTTACCTGAAATGAAAACATTTCTAACTCTAAAATAGCATTAGTGTGGATAAAATATAAATTTACATATCAGTTATTACATTTGGCTTTTTCTCACCCAGAACAATTTGTGATTACTTGTAAATAGATTACTTTTTGGGTACATTAAAAAAATAAAGTAATAAAATGTGTTTGTCATTTTTATTGTCCTCTTTAATTCCACTCATCATATAAATTTGAGAAAATTCTAACACAGTAAAACCTGTAATGAGAGAATTCCCCTTCTGCCAACAAAACATGTTGTCTCAAGACAGGTGGTTTTTTTCATAACAGGTTTGTACAAAAAGACCAGATTCCAAGATCCTGTTTCAGAACAATGTAAAGAAACATGACCACAATCACTGTACATATATTTTATTTTTGATTAGAAGTTCATCCTAAAATATTGTATGTGTTCATCTGAAAACAAAATTATATAGAAATATATAATGATATTTTTAAACATGAAATCACATTTACATTTGAAGATAATATATACATGTATTTTCATATGAAATATTTTTTTCTTTACTCGCTTAACTTTATAACACCCTAAATTTTTTTATTGGTGTTTAGACAGCTATTTTGCGAGTGGTCTACTCTTTTTCACTTCTTTAAGTTACAATCCTTATTTTCTCCAGCGCTAAAATTTGTCTCATTTTATTTGGTGGTTTCTCCATTGTTATTAAGGAAGCAGATGTCAACATTATTAGATCTCATAATAGTTGTACATTATTAGTGCTCAGTTGTGATATCAGCTATTATTAGATCTCATAATAGTTGTACATTATTAGTGCTCAGTTGTGATATCAGCTATGAAGACGGTTTTGACTCGGCTTTTGGAAAATATGATAAATTTTTACATGTGCATTGCATATCTAACATTTAATGAAATAAAAAGAAATATTAATCTCATCCAGAAACAGAATCATTTACTCAGAGACAAAAGTCAATAGCTTAATTCAAAGAAAACATACAGGGACTAACTCTATAAACAAAGTGTGCATACCGGTCACACTAATTAGACGACAGCTTGGTGACTTGGATGTAAACCCTAACATCTGGGGGAAAAAAAACAACAAATTTCACAAGCCATTAACACTATCTGTTGAATCCCTCATTACTCTATATACATGCCTATAAGTCAAGTCAAGCTGCAAACGACAAAGATCCAAATTTGCCATAGTATAAAGCACCTGCAGGTCAGACCCTATTTTGCTTCTTCTACTAATTACTCCCAACAAAGTGCACAGACCCAGATCTGTTGGTGCATTGTGTGGCCCAAGTCTGTTAAGTTTTAAGTTGAACTTGTGAGATTATATGATATTTATGCCCTTATTTTTGAAAGAATTGTTAATCAAGATATAATAAAATCAATACACTTATCAAGACATAAGTATTGTGAGATAGTTTATGTTGCTTGTGTTCTTACAACACTGCATAAGCATGATTGTGCAATGATCAACTTTAATGTAAAGTAAAAGCAAAGTCAGGTCCACATGAGAATCTGCATTCTTATTAGGACCTTTTCTCAAGGTGCAGGACACAATAGTAATCACTTTTTCAATTTGTCCATCTGACTGCCTGTTCATACTTGTAATAGCTTTGCAACCTTTGGATGCCATTGGGTAGGTGAATTGCCTATTAGATATGGATATACCTAATATACAGGTTTCATCTTCTCAGGTCCAATTTTGGGAGAGTTATTGCCCTTTTTATGTTTTTTTTTTTTTTTTACATCTCTTGCAACAGATCCTTCTAACCAGCATAACACAGGAACATACGTAGATGCAGTTTGATGTACATTTTCTCATGGACCTAGATGTTTCTGTAATAAGTTTTATCTCAATCACATGTCAGTTAACTTCATATCTTTGTAAGGTGTTGTAACCAACGTAGCTCAAGAACTATTCAGCATATTCTGATGCAGTTTGATGCAACCTAAGTCTCATAAACTTACATGTACCTTTTATGTTTTAGTCTCATTCAGTTGGTATAGAGTTATGTCCTTTCCCGGTTTTGTTTCTTTGCAGGGCCCATTGTGACTCACGTTTTTCAAGTCAAGACTTTTTTGCAACTGACTGCTCCGGTGGCATAGTGGTTAGAGTATCCACCTCTGATGCAGGAGGTCATGGGTTCGATCCTCAGTCAAGTGATGCCAGAGACTTATAAAAATGGTATTAACAGCTGCCTCATTAAGCACTCAGCATTAAGAGGTTAATGTTAGGACTGGTCGGTGAGGTGTCAGGATAATGTAACTATGTAGGACATTCTGCTACAGGTCTGCAGCATGATGCCTCAGTGCTGGACATCAGTATAAACTGTCACACTGCAGACATCGTAGTGATAGCACTGAAAAATTGTCAAAAGATAAGTTCCAGATCTCTAACACACACACACACACACACACACGCACACAATGAAACTTTATTTCATCTCATATTTAATGATGCCCAGAATACACTAAGAGCTTTCTTTTTAACATCAGATCTCCATCTATTCTCTTCCTTTTTTTTTTGGACTTCATTATTTTCTTTTTCTACTTCTTCTTCTTCCTTTGATAAATCCAGTTGAGTACCTTTGATTTCAGTACTATTGAATACCAGGATGTCAGTATGTTGAATTCCTTTATACCAATGCTATTAAGTACCTTGATACTATTACTGCCATTGGTATCAAAGATTTCAAATGTATTGAATACTCAATGTCAATACTATTTACTTGCATTATACCAATGCTGTTGAGTACCTTGATGCCAATGTTATCAAGTACATTGATATAAATACTGTTGAGTTCCTTTGTATCAATAGTGTTGAGTAACTTGATATCGATACTATTCAGAAGCTTTATATAAATACTATTGAGTTCCTATATGGTAATACTATTGAGTACCTTGATACTCTTAAATGCCCTGATACAAATACTGTTTAGTGCCTTGATATAAATATTATTTAGTATTTTGATACCAATACTATTCAGTACCTCAGTAACAATATTGTAGAGTACCTTGATACCAATGCTGTTGTAGGGGCCATGTGGCTCAGTTGGTTGAGCATCAGATTTGTAATCCAAAGGTTATGGGTTTGATATCCACCCAAGCCAGCTGGAACTAGGTGTCTTGGTGTGTCCTTTGGAAAGGCACTTGGTTCCATTTCCTCCACATGCTATAATTAATATTGTGTTAAATGTGCTTTCAAACTGTAAAACAAAAACCAATATTAGTATTTGATAACAGTACTATTGAGTACTTTGATAACAATATTAGAGTAACTTGATACCGGTACTATTGAGTAACTTGACACCAGTACACTGTTGAGTTCCTTTATACCAGTACTACTGAATTCCTTGATACAATTATTGCTGTGTACCTTGATACCTGTACTACTGAGTACTCTCGTATAAGTTTTGCTGAGTTTATTAATAAAAGTATTCTGGACTAGCACGATAACAGTACTACTGAGTACCTTGAGATGATACCAGTACTATTGTGTACCTTGATACCGATACTGTTGAGTTCCTTGATCCTTGTACTACTAAATACATTCATAAGATTACTACTACTGATTACATTCATAAGAGTACTACTGAGTATCTTGATAGCAATACTACTGAGTACTTTCATACCAATACTATTGAGTACCTTCATTACAGTACTACTGAGTACTTTTATACCAGTACTGCTGAAATCCTTCATACCAGTTCTACTGAGTACCTTCATATCAGTACTAATGAGTACCTTCATATCAGTACTACTGAGTACCTTCATACCAGTACTACTAAGTACCTTCAAACTTTTGTTTTTGAGAATTGTCGGTGTGTACAAGGATTGAAAGCAAAATGAAGAAAGTAATTACAGGAAAGTCCCAGTGTTTCATATATTCCATCCACCAGAGTATGAGAATAAACAGATAAGAGAACAAAATGAAAAGAGAAACAAAGTTTTAAAATGCTGTGTTCCATTTTATTGCTGTTTTTATGCCATTCCCACAAATGTGGAAGGGGGCCTGTATTGTTACCCTTCATCAGTTTCTCTATATCACACCTTAGAGACTTTGGTTACGTTTAGCATTCAGGAGAAATGGGCATAATATGTTCTGTGAACATGTGTCTGGTTTCTTCAAGATGGTGGGTATGACATGTTTTAGAGTTATATTTAATTTGTAATACATGTAATCAGTGACCAAGTCTGAGATAACAGCCACAAGCTACACAAGAATATTTTGTTTTTCTGTAATTTCCTTGTCAGAGAATTTTATGTTTTAAGTCACAGCGTGGGTCTTTGTAAATAAATTATTGATTTTTTTATGCCCTTTATTCAAAACAAATAATCTTGATAAGTCCCTTGATAACCTGGATATATGAAAGGAAATATTAAGTCAATATTTTATTGACAGTAACAACACCTTGTAATTAAATGATTTGACCCACTGTTATTTCCCATGCTGGATCTACCATATTTATGTGCTTATAAGTTAGGATCTAACTGCATAGATCCAGATCTACAATTGCATAATGCACTTGCAGATCTGGGTCTGTACAGTTTGTTACAAGTATTCAGAACAAACAACACAGACTGATCTGCTGGAACATTATAAAATGACAGATCAGTGTCTATGATGTTTGCATTATGACATATAAGCAAGTACAGATGGTGTTATGAAATGTTACATCATTCCATTAGAAGACTGAACAATTTAGGTTGTTAGAACAATTTGTTTGATTATGCATCTCAGTAATCAATTTTTAAACAAACAACATGGAGTGGAACTAAAAATAATGTAAAAAGAATGTGTTTCTTTTATTCTAGTTCATTGTCCAGGCAGTAGTCCATGTAGTGAATGAGTGAATGGAGGAAGGGAAAATCTTAAGTTATTTGTTAATTTGATTAATGACAAGATACTTAATAATAATAATAATAATAATAATAATAATAATAATAATAATAATAATAATAATAATAATAATAATAATGAATTTATTTAAAGAAGTTCATTTGGTCAACTGATCAAGCTTCCATAAGGACTTCTACAGTTACATTTGTATGCACAATTTGTACTAGATGTGTCTTTATACAATAAATGCTGTTACAAACAAGACAATTAATATAGTGCTAAAATAAAATATGCACAAGGCTTTAACAGTGAGTTTGTACAGGATTCAAGCAAAGGTTATTAGTTAATCTATGTAAAGCATTACAGGTTAGTACATAATATAACAATGCAAAATGTATTTGAACTGAATGAACAAAATCATACAAATGATTGTTTCTGTAGATGTTGACTAATAAGCTTTTTAAAAGCTTGGCATGTGTCAGCTGACTTTATATAAGGTATTATGAAATTCCATTGTTTGGCTCCAGATAAAGCAAAGCTCTTCTTTTGAAACTGAAGCTGGTTTAAGTAAACATGAATTGTTATTTGAGATGGGTCATAGTTCATACACATTTGCATTTTCAACAAATTTAAAGTTACATTTAAGATAATCAGGAGCCAAACCATGTAAGGATTTATAGACTAGTAAACTGTTCTGAAATTGAGTTCTCTGCTGAAATGGAAGCTGTGTAAGTTTTTTTTAAAAAAGATTTGTATAAATCGGCAATAACAATAACATGAGCTGCTTTTTTAAATTTATTATCCCTGATACAACAACAATATTCTTAGTGGTGTGATATATGCATTGTAAAATATCTTTCTCTGTTTTTGAGAGAGGTAATATTTTATTTAGTTCAAGAGATAAAGTTGTATTTCCTTTTTTAATGACCTTATCAGCTTGTGTTTTCCAGCACAAGATATTGTCTAACATGAGGCCAAGAATTTTTTCATTTTCAGACAGTTGTATATCTCTTCCTTTTAGCATTACAAAGGACTAGATCAGATGTGGCCAGAACCTGCTTTTCTTGCCAATCATTAGTTTGACACAATGCAATGAAAGGCAACATTGCTTTACTTCCTTTTACAGATGAATAAAAAGATTTTTTTACTCATGCAAATTTGGTTGATTCTTTCATGAACAATGATTGGAAATTTACTTACATATGATAAAAGTTTTAATTGATTTCATATTATTGTATATGTAAAATTTACCAAATTCATATGGATTATAACAAATCAAACTGCTGAACATCTAATAATGTTTATAATCCATTTTACAGCTCAAATGTAATCTCTTTGACCTGTTTATGACTTTTTAAAATTCTTTGCTTTCATATGTTTGTTTCTTAATTATACTTTATTTTAAATACAGACACATTTGCCGAATAAATTTATGATGTCATTAGTTTCTTCCAGTTTTCCTAGCAACTGTCTGTAACTCTGTAGAATATGGATTGAGTTTTGAGCAACTTGAACCCAGCTATACCTTTTCAAAAGCACATGAAGATCTCAGCTTATACTGTTTGGTCTACCTATAGTTTAAAGTAAACTACATATTTCCCTGTCCACCACTGCATAATGAGCAATGGCAACACATGTTGTAGAGCATCAGATTCATAATCCAAGGATCACAAGTTCAATATTGTGATTTGTCGAATTTTGAAAACCCTTAGAAGCATTGGTTAAAGGAATTGTATCAGAGTCAACTTAATTAAAGTAAAAAGGGCTGGAGATAGTTATATGATTATTTTCATTTTATCTCTGAACATCAAAGGAAATTCGTTCCACGCGACGAAACTTGACCGAGTCATATGCTATGGTACAAGGGTATGACATAAGACCCTTCTCAAAATCAACTGGTTAAAGGGGGAAGCTTGGCAATAATTGATTGTTCAAAAGAACGTTAATTACGGCATGATTAGCTGTCTTGACAATCAAAAATTCTACAGAGAAGATTTAGGAAACAGTCGATTCTGATTGGTTAATAGGGATTTATGGGCGTAACTCTGTAAGGAATTAAGGGGTTTGCTTTGAAGAAATTCTTCAGTCTTCAATCTTTCTTGAGAGAAGTTAGGGGTCGACTCCGGAAAACGTGAAAGGCGTCTCTCGTGATTGCAATAAAGCGTGAGAGTTATCTCAGGAAGTAGACAAACTCTATATTTGAGGTTCGTTAGAAACCAATAAGAAACGGCAAAAGGTACGCAATCTTAGTTTCCCGATTTTAATATCTTATTTCATTTGTTGATTTGCTTGTAAATGTATTGATGTTATGATGTATGTATGTATGTATGTATGTATGTATGTATGTATGTATGTATGTATGTATGTGTGTGTGTGTGTGTGTGTGTATGTATGTATGTATGTATGTATGTATGTATGTATGATTTCATTTTGCAGGGTTTTAGTGAAATGTTAGTCTTGACATTTTATTCTTTGATTTTCTAATTATCAATTCATTTGGAGAATTGACAAGATTGCATGTAATTGAATATTCGATACATAGGAGCGCTTAGGAATTTGTGAGAATTAAGCTTAATAAATGATGGGTAATGTTTCGTAGTTTATGAATTAAGGCTATGTCTAGTATGACATGTATTGAGTGTATATCCATATACTAGTTTAGTTTGTAATATTTAATTGATCACGTAAACTATTTTAAAATAGTTAGACTTGAGGATCTAAGCCATATGTAATTTAACACTACTAGATAGTTTAATGTAAGAAGTCAAGGGGTGTTAAATACAGGCACATACGTCTTAGCCGTGAAGTGGAATATAATTATCTCGCTAGCGTGATCCGAATTAAGGTCAGGACATGCAATGACCGTCTATGTAAACATAGGAATTAGTGAATGTGAGTGCAACAGAATTTATGTCTTCTGTTTTCTGAGCCGAAGTAATGTAAAAATATAGATATATTTGGAAATGCGACCCGTTGTCTATTGCTAGACATTTTATTTATTAAAGGAAACAGCTTTCCAAAACTCTCCCGAGATTCCGTAACTTTCCTGAGATTCCCTGAAAATTCCTGTACCAATTCCAAATTAGCAAATTCTGAGCCAAAGTCTAGGTCCAGAGACGATCATCAAAATCAGAGTTCGACTGGCAAGAGTCCAAGTCCAGACGACTAGACAAAGGTTGGCTGAACAGGGACTTACGGAAGATTCGATGTCCGGATAAGACAGGTGATGATGTCACTCATCGTTGCACTCAAAGGTCATACCTCGTAGGC